CTTTTTGCAGGTATGCCTATACCTACAATGATTGCAAATACTGTAGGTGGCCCCATTGCCTCTGCCTTGAAACTTCAGCAGCACTGTGGCTCTTAACACCTATAGTGCACTACACCTTGTTTATGTCGTGACTTGATCTGTGGGTGGCTGTGACTCTTGGCTTTGGTTCATCTTGGACCTCGCTGATATGGGGAACAGAGAAGGAAATTCCTGAGATTCCTTGGCTGCAAAGTAATAGCAAAATGCATCCAAACAGCAGTTAGTATTTGCTAAGCATGCACAGATCCGAACAGAGACTCTAACTTTCAAGAGCAGAGAACAAGCCCCAGCAACATCCACCGCAAAACGCAAGAGCAGTGTGATGTAGAAAGGTGAAAAACATATGATGAACACACACAAATTCACAGAAAAAATGTGGATTGCTTTCTGAATTAACTTTCTCTCATAAGGGCTTGTGGCCATCTTCTCTTTGAGACATTTGATGACTTGTACTGAGCAAAAAATCACAATCCCTAAGGGAATAAAATACCCAAAGATAATGGAGAATAACAATGAATAATTAGGTTGAATAGATTGTTTCTGAAAGCAGTATTGTTCCTGTCCGCCATGAAATTTTGGACGCAAGCAGGAATAAATTATCAGCGCTATCCAAAGAAACCCACAGATAGAAGCAGATTTCAGTGGGGATCGAAGAATTTTTGCTTTTAGAGGGAACTTGATTGCAATGTATCGATCAATCGCAATCAGAGTGATGATAAGGATGCTCATAGGCACGTTTGTAGAATATACGTTCTGTATGGTGAGACACAGGTTGTCTATGGGATGGTTGTACTTGGTAAAATATATCAGGAAAGGCAGGGCAAAGAGCAGGAAACCATCTGCGACCATGAGGTTGATCATGTACACCCTGGTCTCGGTCCACCTCTTGAGTTTGCAGCAGAAGACCCAGAAGGCAAATGTGTTCAGTGGGATCCCCAAAGAGAGCACTGGGATGTAGATGATAAGTTCAAATAGCACAATGCTAGACGGCAGCGTGGTGTTGTCTTTGGTGCAGTTCTCCATGTTGGGCTGTTTCTGCAAGAAAAGGGTGCAGGCATGAGACCGAGCTCAGGGACAGGTCCTCTGGGCTGGGTCGTGCTGCAGTGTCCCTGCTCTCATGGCTCTGTGGCTCCTCGCGCCTCTGCACATACAGGCATATGTAGGCAGCCCCTGGATGGGCTTGGCGGCTCATCAGCACCGTCTGTCCCTCAGACATCAAAGTATCACTGTCACTTGCCCCCAGCTAACACAAAACCACAGAGGCAACTCTCTCTTGCAGCTGTTACGGGTTAAGCCTGCCTTTCCCTCCATCCAGTCCTGGTTTGCACAGCTGGGGTAATAGCAAAGGGTCTGCAAAGCAGAATGATAATTTTTGTGGTCCCTTGTCTTTGCTGCTGCTGTGGTTATCAGAGAGCCACTGGCTTTAGGGCAGCCTGAAGCAGAGCTGGGCAGCATTCGCCCTTTTCCGTCCAAGGCCCTTGCTTTGCTGCTGGAGCCACCCCATGGGTCTGCTCTGGGTCTTGCCAGGCCTGCAAACCTGCACAGGACTTGAGCCCTTCCAGTCATAAGGTAGCTCAGGTGGCTTTACTCTTGGGGGTGGTGGGAACGCTGCTGCAGGCTGGTGGGTAGGTGCCTGCTGCGGGCAGGCTGCCCCCAAGCACAAACCCACTCCTCTTGCTGTGGGATGCTGGGGAGGAATAGCTCAGCATGGGTACCACCAGCCCGAGCAGATAACAGGTCTCCAAAGAGAGAAGGTGAAAGTGAGCACACATGTCTGGTCTCAACCTTCAAAGGTAGGAAGGCAAAATGTTGCTAGAGGAGAAAACATGAATACGAGAACTTAGAGTATCTCCTGGTATTCCTTTAAATATTTCAGGGCATCCGCTACCAGCAAGGCGGCTGCAGAGGATGAATCAGACTTAGTCTGCAGCTCATAAAGGAATTGTTTACAGTGAGGCAGGAAAGGAAAACACCCAGATTCCTACAATCTCTTATAAATACATTGCCTTATAAGTCAGCAGCTTCTAAGCATCAACATCAAAACTAGTGAAAATGTCCGATTGCATGAACTAAGTTAACTGTTTTTAGTGTCCAAGACTGAGAGATGGATCCGGCAGACACAGAGGGAAGTGCAGCACCTGCCCTAGCACCAGAACTGGTATGGCATTACTGAACCACAGGGATACAATCATTTTTACGGTGAAATTTATGGAGGAACTAACATACAGCCAGTGTACTGGCTTTCTTGGGCTTTCAGCCTCACAGGTCCTTGACTCCACTGTGGTACCACCTACCCTGCAGTCATTCCCTGCCAGTCTACCATGGTCATCCTGCAGTGAAAAAGCCACTCTCTGCACACATAGCACTGCCCTGAGGAGCAGCTGAGCCCTCTCAGCTGGGCTGGGCATCCCAGCCCCATCAAATCCCCCATGTAAGCACAGAGCTAGAGGTGGTTCCCAAGGTCCCATGCTGCAGTGTGCCTGGAGCCAGGTGCCTCCACGCGCGTGGAAGAGGCATGGTAAGAAGCATTGCTGTGAAAATGCAGCGAGCGATGAAGACCCCCCCTGTGGCTGCAAAACAGTGAGGCATAACAGCTGTGAAAGCAGGAGGAAACTGAGGCATCTGTGTACAGCTGAGGCTTGACCCATATGTTAACAAGCAGGCAGTCCTGGCTAGTGCTTCAGTTAAGAGGTGAGAAAGCACACCCTGAAGTACTGAGCAGAGCACACTGCCACACACCGGTGTGCAAAGAATTAAAAGACATTACCTGCTTCTTGTGGGGCCATCAGGTGGGTTTAGTCCTCAGAAAGGTTGCAGTGTAGATGTGGGCATCCTGGCATGGGAGGAGATCTGTCGGGGCTGTGGGTGCTGGTGCAGGGTGCGGCTCCGTGCAGGGCACAGCTGCCCGGGAGCCTGCTGAAGACAGGTCAGGAGCGCTGAAACACAGCAATGAACTCTTGGTCCCCAAAAGTGCTTCATTTATCACCTACTTTTTGGGACAGTCAAGTCTCTGGTGCCCTCTGTTGTTCTATTCACATCAGCTCAATGCTTCACCATCATTTTTTCCACCCAGTCTGTGCTCCCCCCCACTCACCTCATGCAAACTAGCAATTAAAATTTAATATTTTCAGTTGTGGGAAAACAAAGAACTTCTGAAATAAAGCCCATAATGGTTGCAAATTGCCCTTCTGGCACTGAAAGGACCCCCAGGGAGCACAGCAGCCTGTGCAGCCTCCGGTGTGGTTGCAGAATGTGCCTCAGGCAGGCAGCAGCGTGGCGGCCGACCGCCTTTCCAAGGGGGCACATCGGTGCTCATGCACCCCGTGACGGTGAACCCAGGGTAAGGGGGCCTAGCATGCTTCTCTTCGGTGTCTTTACAATAGAGGTGACAGATGTTAAGGGCCTGCTTGTCCTCTGCAAAGCAGCCAGGTGAATAACACTGCTCATAGCATCACTGTAAAGCCCAAGCTGGTAATGACAGTCACTGCCAACTGGGCACAGGCGAGAGAGACAGGTACTGCAGTGAGCACACCATAGGCGTCAGGACTTTTAGAAACATGTTTAACAACATGCCCCAGTGGTATTTTGTAGTCATTTTGATGGCTTTTGCTGTCTGTTGACTGCAGCAGTTGAAGTCCCATCTATGTGAGCCAGCTGACAGGAGCCAGACTCTCACTCCCTCAGGATTTGTTCCATTAATTCATGTGTCTTGAGCTCATGGTCCCAAAATTGAGAACAACAGATTGGGCAGCAGCTGTGGGCTCCCTGAAGGCAGATGCAGGTCACAGGGGAAACTGTAAGTGGGCAGGAAGACTCCTCCACCCTGTCTCCTGGAGTGCTCACAGCATTGCCTGGGCAGAGCTCAGAGGCCATTTTGGAGACTTTTCAGTATTTAGAAAGAAAAAAGCCCAGTCCAAGGGAGCATTTGAATAACATGTCAACCCACTGCCCATCTCCCCTGACCTTTCTAGGCTGCTGACTCATGGATAAATGCATTTCCCCATGGAAACGTTAGGGGTGTCAATGTGGGCAGGCTGTGGAAACCCAGACCCAGCTGTGTCCAGCTGTGGAGTTCAGCTGGGGGGTGATACTCTGACCCTGAGCTGCATCTGGGAGGGTGAACCTGGGGGCCAGCCTGGTGCCACAACATAAACCCAGGGAATAGCAATGCACGGGTGGCAAAGGTCTGGACAGATTTAAAAGGGCTTCCCCACAGGTGGGAGCAGCAGCCCCTTGGGGGTGGCTGCTCTAAGGAGGTGTCTCTGTGCCAGGGCTCAGCAATGCAGCATGAAGGGAGCCAGCAGGAGGACTCAGCTCTGAAATCTCCTGGACTTTGTGCCTTTACGGCACTGGACAAGTCTTGCTTTCATCCTAGTGTTCCTTCACATCTACCTGACCTATTGACTTAAAGGGGAAGGGTGGTCAGAAGACGCTAAGCTGTTTTGTAGGGCCATGTACTTACTAATATGCTGGGACCACCTGAACACCCCTCCCAGCCTGCCAAAGGAATATGATAAAAATAAACTAGACTATTTTAATAATGCAAACAACCTGAAATACACAATGAGGTAAAACATTATATAGTCTTTTATATGTGTTGGCAATAGGGATCAATTAACTTTAGCCGCAAAATGAACTAAAACAGGGAGACATACACGGGTCACCTGTTTTCTTGTAAGAGTAACAAGTAGGTGCTAGAGGGTGGAATGGAGACATGTTAATGACCAGTGATTACATACACATTTTTACACAACTCTGAAATACCTTATTTTTTTAATAGAAACATAGAGTATAAATCGCAATTAGCTTAGTAACGCTAAACCTAACAAAGATCTCCCTACAGAGAAAGAGCAATAGTTGTCCTAATAATGCTGAAGCTGTATCTTCTCTTGATGTTACAGAGTTGTTGTGGGGTTTTTGGGGTTTGGTGGTTTTCGTCCCCCCTGCTCCCTCCCCTTCCTTTAGCAAGTGTGCGTCTGGATGGGAGGGATTTGATCTGTTTTTTCAGTGCTGTGTTTGGACAGTAGGACTTCATGGAACTCCTTGGTCACAAAGTAGTAGCAGACACTATCCAGGCAGCAGTTGGATGTGGCGATACACCTCGTCACAGAGGAGAAGTTCTTCATAACCTGGAGCAGGAAACAGGTAGCTCCGACACTCTCCATTATGAACCTGGTAAGTATGCCAACGTAGGCTGGCAGAAAACACACTAGAAATACAATCAGATTTGCATAAATAACGTGAAGAGCTTTCTGGATTAATTTCTCCTCTGGTGAATTTGTGTTCAGACGTCGCTTAAGGTTCCTGATTACTTCTGTGGAGCAAAAAGTCAAGATTGCTAATGGAAGAGTAAAAACGAAGAAAATGGAAAGCAGGCTCAGAGTAGCGGGCGCGGTGGTATCCTTCTGAAAGCAGAGTGTGGCTTGTCTCTGCCAAAGCTGTAAGGTGACACCGATTATCACGGAGATCCACAGAAGCCCACAGAGAAGAGCAGCCTTTGATGGAGACCTGAAGGTCCTGGCTTTCAAGGGGTGTTTTATGACAATGTATCGATCAATGGAGATAAATGAAATTGTGTAGATGCTCACTACCATGTTGATAACATACATTGCCTCTATAAACTGGCAGAGTTCATTTCGGGTTGACTTATTCCAGAGCAAATAAGCCATGAAAGGCAAGGTGCAGATGACGAAGCAGTCTGCAAAGACTAAATTGATTACATACACCTTGGTTTCTGTCCACTTCTTTATCTTGCAGAAGAACACCCAGAGGGCAAGAGCATTAAACAGTGCTCCAAAAAAGAAAATGAGGTTATACAGAGCAAATTCAATGAGACGAACACAGTGATACAGTTCTAGATTTGTGACACTGCAGTTGTTGGACACATTCATTGCCCTGATGTGTAGATGTTGTATGATGTTCTGAGACCTGAAACGGCAAGACATGGTAAGACTTTCCTCGTACCTCTTAAAGGATGGATGGCTCCTATAAAAAAGGGTATTTAAATAAATGTTTACTTTGTTATGAATGTGAATTTAAGTCTACAAAGCTGACCGCCTCAGTCAGCCTGTAACTGGGATGTATCTTTTGTCAAGCTTTGTTTATGTTTACTCAGTGTCTGAGTAAATATCTCAAGGTACACTTCCAATAGCACATGGCAGACAGCCTTTATTAAATAGGAGGATCTTGAATGGGAGGACAGAACAGCACTTAGAAGAGCCCCCGTAGATAGTGGGGCATCCTGTGACAATGTGAACACTAATTCCTTAAGCCACGCTGTACAAATGAGGTAAAATTACCCTTAGCTTGGTTTTGAGCTAGGCGGGGATTGCAGCAACCAAAACTAAAGACATGAGCAAAAGCTCATCTACCAGTTCTGCTGGCTTGGGAGACAGACTAGGGGGGTGAAGAACTGCAAGGGCATAGCAGATGTCACTTGGTAGACATCCTCATGCTCTGTCTCTTAACTGGGCAGGTTTCTGAGCCTTTGAGTTGCCTTGTGAACCTGGAGTTCCTGCTGCAAGCTGAGGAAAACAGAGCTGAATCTAAATTCCTGCATCCCAAAGGCATGCTTGAAACCCTAAGGGAGCAAGTGAGGCATACTGCTCTCCACCTCCTCGGGAGGGGAATGGGGGGTGGAAGGATTAACCTGATTTTAAGCCCATTTGTTCCAGGAAAGAGTAGGAGTCTGCAGATGTAAAGCAGAAAGATACACCTGAAAGAGGGAACACCTGTGCAAAACTTGACATTAAGGGCTGCATTAGATGGTTCCTGCCACCCTGAGAAATCCATGAGATGTAAGTAGTAGGTACTGAGCCCCTGTCACACTGGCTACTAGGTGTTGTGCAAGATTATTGGTTGTGTGAAGAGCATGAATTTGTGGGCTGATAAAAATCAGATTTCATCAGAGACCATCCTGTGCAAAGTGGCTGTATGTGATGTGCACATGGAACAATTCTCTGAACTGGTGTATATGTCACTGAATTTCTGCTTGTGTCTAAATGCACTTTGGAAAGAATTTAACCTTTTAATTTAAATTATTTACCACTCTAACAGGAGAGTGAAGTGGTGAGGGAGCTGCTGAAATCCTATAGCTTTCAGAAATGTAGGAAGAGACACCATGAGTGAACATGCCTGGTTAAGCAGTTATTTGCCTCTGCAAGCAATGTAGATCTTCTGGTCAGTTGGTGAGAGCACTGCCTGCAAAACTGAGACTTCGGTTCTGAAGTAACTGATAAACACACAAATAACTCAATTGCTGGGGGGGATATGTAAGTGTCTTGGGCACTAGCAGACACTAATGTGACTCCTGTGTAGAGCTCTCTCCCAATTCTTGTGTTCTCAGGTCTGGGTTTCCCAACAGAGCCTTGCTGCTCACTGCCTGCACCCTGGGAAGAAGCTGACAGCTGTCACCTGAGGAAAACCTCTTTGAACTACAGTAAGTAGCAGCAGGAAAACACCCTACATCAAGGGCTGAAGCTGCCACATCGTTATGCTCACTGACTGCATGAGGCAGATGTCTTTGCTGGCGTGGCTGATGCCCAGGTTGCTTTTCATTGGCCCTGGTCCGCAACACCAGCAGTACAATGCAGGCAAACCATGCCGGTGTGCTCTGCAGCATGAAAGGGCTCTGGCCAACACTGCCTTTGGAGATGGACATGTGGCCCCATTTCCAGCATCAGTGACCTGTCCTGCTGTGGGGCTTTGGTGCAGCTCAGGGCTTGCAATTGGGAAATGCAGGCCACGAGGCAGCTGAGACTGGGGGGAGGAGGGACGAAACGAGCAGAGGGTTTTAAAGCAGGCCACATAGCACAGATAGGGTATGGCTGAGAGCAAAATGTCTTTAAAGAGATGCAGTTTGATAAGCTAGCATATCCTGTGGCTGCCGGAAATGCTTAAGGTGGGGTAGATGAGATGGCTGCAGCATCAGAGGGGCTAGGCAGCAACCTACAGCTTTGAGAAGAGGATGGAGACAGCTGTAAAACAGATTCTTGCTGCTGCTAAAGGACCAGGAACAGGCTAGGGCTTGATGGACAGGGTCACCAGTACTGTGGAGCGTGTTCCGCTTTCCCCCCACCATAGACCGGGGACAGCTGATCAGCAGCTGTCCCCCACCATGGAAGCTGGTGACCAGCTAGGGAGGAAGGCCAGGGCTCATTTCCTCCAGCAGCTCAAGAAGTAGCAGGCTCCTTCCAGACCCTTAACAGGGAGCTTGGAGGAAAAGAAGCAAGGCAGAGGCTGAAGGCACAGTGGGTGTTGCAGTAGCACTGCGGTGGCAAGCACCCAGTGTATTTCCCAGCAGGATGCCCATGAGGAAGCAGCTGCACCGGAGGGGAAGCCTTGCGTGTAAAATCCTCTTCCCACCTTGTGTGGAGGAACTCAGAAGTGAGCAGGTACCAGAGGAGTGAAGGGTGAATGTGGCGGGTGAAATGACTAAAGACACCACAGGAGCCGGGGTGGGGGGAGCTGTTGGGGTGGGTGAGGGACGGGACCTGGAACTGAGTAGAGCAAGGGGAAGAAGGAAAATGGGATGGGAAGGATGGGGTTCAGCATGGCATCTTCTGCATCAACTGTCTTCAAACCTGCCACCTCTGTGGCAACTGCCCTGATTTTCACCAACTTTCCTATAAATTGAATGGGTAGCTGTCAGCAAAGATTTAATAAATAGGCTGCACAGGTATGAGAATAGACTTGGACAGGGCAGTAATTCGCAGCAGTGTCAATCTAACCATGGGCACTGCTGGCCAGGCCCTGGGCAGCAAGCTGACCCGGGAGGGAAGCACGGCCAGGAAGAGAGAGCAGATAAACTGCCTCCATGACAGAAGAGCCCTAAGTGAGGGTCCTGCCACAGCACTTAAGTGAGGGGCTTTTCCCCTCTGTTTCCACACAGCATAAAGAAACCTGGAAACCACCTGCTCTGACCTTGCTGCTGTTGTTCACAGCTCTCTCAAACACAGTGATCTAAGGCACAGCACTTTTTACTTTTCTTTTTTGAAACTTGCGTTCTTTCAGGCTTATCTGTCACTGCATCCCTTGAGAACAGTAATGCAGTAATGCAGTCCTAACCACAGAACTGCTTTGAAAGACCCTGGAAGGGGATGCAAGGGTACACTTAGACAAAAAAGAAATCTTTTGGAATCACTCATTTCCCATGCTGGGATGAATTTAGCTTCCAGTTCCCAGCTGCTGTTAGGAAGTAATAATGCTGTAAAGCTAAAGGACCCGGAGAATACCCTGGAATAAGAACAGAAATCGAAAGGCTCAGGGATTGCAACCCACTGCATAGACCTCTGCATCGCAGGAACTGCACTGCCCTGCAGAAACCAGGCACCTAAGCCTCCTCTGCCTCCTCCCAGCCACCGCAGGACCCTGAGCAGCAGTTCACAGAGAGCAAGAGAGAATGAAACAAAGTGATGTTACCTGTAGGTTTAATACCATAAAATCAGCAGCGGGTCCCACGGGAAGCAGGGCACGTGGGGGCTGTGCAGCTGCATATCCTGGTCAGGAGCAGGGGATGGGGACAGGCTGCATGTGCAGGTCAGACGCCCAGCAGCGACTGCTCATTGGTACTTCAGGGTTTCTACAGCACCTCCTCCTCCTGCGTAAGAGAAGATTTCATGTCAGTTTGGTCTTGTATGCCAATCGCTGACCAAATAAATGGTGGCAATGCTTTCCGGTGAGGTCTAGCACCTTATCATTCAGCGCTTTCTAAAATGGTGTGTTCAACGGCTAGCAGTGGTACTCAGCAACTGTGGACTTGAAATGCTGTGCTGAAACCTAAGCTAAGCAAGGCCAGGAAGATGTAGTATCTGGTATCAGATTATCCCATGCAGCTGGAGGTGCAGGGCCTTCCAGCTGAGTGCTGAACTGAGTCATCCTTGCACAGCTCTGGGCAGGGAGGTGGGCACACTGAGCAGCTTGGCACGTAGTCTAGGCTCTCTCTAGGCTGGAGAAAGTCTCCCCAGCCCTCCTCAGATGGAGACTGTTGCACCCAAATGGCCCCTTGGGATGGGTTTGTGCCTGGGGCAGGGGATGGAGCAGGAGATGAGGCCAGTGGCAGGGCTCCAGCCTGCACCTCTGTTTGGGCACAGGTACAGCCAAAGCACCCAAGAGCTTCAGGCTGGCATCTGAACCAAGGCCCTGGCATCTCACATGGGTGGCAAAGAGCCTTTCTTGTTGACCCTGTGTTGACAGAAGTGGAGGGGGGAGAGAGAGCTGTAAGACCCAAAGGACTCAGTGATAAGCTATTTAATTGGTGTCGATAATCAGCATGCAATATAGCTAGTGGGAAATTGTCTCACTGCCCACTTATCCTTAGTACCTGACAAGCTGTAACACTTCATTGCAGTGATGCTAATGGTGGTTGGATGCCCATAAAATAGCATGATGGGTACTCCACTGGCTATTACGACGTGTGAGCTGTGAGAGAAGAAAAGCCTGCTGGCTCGAGAGAGCCATGCAGGCACTGGTGTGGTGAGCAAAGGATGGCAGGATGCTGATGTGGCCCAGGCGTCCCAGCTCGGGAGGCAGCAGGACTGGAGGGTCAGTGCAGGTGTTTAAGGCCAGGAAAGACGTGTGAAGAGAGCCACAAGGAAAGGCTGTGGGAGCTGTTTGCCTGTGGTAGCTGCAGCTGCATTTCCCTAACAGAGGCTGATGTTGTTATTTTTGACTGGGAGCCCAGGATGATGGCCTTGTTCACAGAGTGGCTGAGGTTGGAAGGGACCTCTGGAGGTTTACTCCAACCCCTTGCTCAGAGCAGGTTGCCTGGGGCCATGTCCAGTCTGGTTGTGAATATCTCCAAGGCTATCTCCACGGATTCCCTGGGCCACCTGTTCTAGCATTTGATCACCCTCACAGTAAACATTTTTTCTTATGTTTAAATGGACTTTCC